GGAGCCTCTGCCTGTGGCAGGGTTCCCTGTGCTCTGTTCCTGCTGCACTGAATTCGGGGAACTTGAGCAGTAATAATCAAAGCTTTGTTCAACGATATTGCTTTGGGGGAGCTTTTAGTGTAGTCCTGGAGTTACAGGGTTCACGCTGCTTGTGTTGTACCCTTGAATTCTTGTGCTCGCTTGTGGTCTGATATTTTATCATGGTCTCGGTGGCCTCGTAGTTCTTTCTGGACTAAATTCTGGGAAGCTTTCCCTTTTTTCTATATATAATAGCTTAAAGTGATGTTGAAGTTAACTTGTCTCACACTCCCCTCCCACCCCCAATATTTAGGATGGAGTAGGTGCTAAAATAGCGGAGAAGATAGATGAGTTCTTATCCACTGGAAAATTACGCAAATTGGAAAAGGTGGGTTTCTTTTGCTTGTACTCCATTTCTCCATAGCTGCTTTTCTTTGTAACTTGCAAAGTAGCCTGCTTGCTTTGTGCAATTTCTGTTGTTGTCCCTGGAGAGGCTGATGTCGAGCTTAAGAATGATGGGCACGGAGTCTATGGCAAGTAGAAAGCAGGGAACAAGCAACTGAGCCAAAGTCTCGAAACTGTCTATTTGTGAAAATATTTTAGGTTTTATAATCAGCATGTGAATGTCTTCTGTGAGAACTGGAATTCTGACTCCAGAAGGCTGTGGAGTTTTGTCATTTAACCGTGCTGTTCACCTTAGCATGGGTAGTTGGGCAGTTTTCAGCCTTGGTATATATGGCATTGTTGTGGTACACGGTACTGCCCTTGGTACTGTTTTGCGTTGATTTACAGTGAGCCTCCAAAGGCAAGTCTGACTAAGCTGTTTTATCTTCTCAAGATTTCTTTGTTTATTGCAAATGGAGTAAAGAAGGGTTTGGTTTGGTTTGTGTGGCTTTGTTTTTGCAGATTCGACAAGATGATACAAGTGCATCTATCAGTCTCCTGACACGAGTTACTGGCATTGGGTAAAGCTGTTTGTTTGGGTTTTGGTTTTGCTTTTTTTTTTTCTTCTCCTGTTTATTTGGTGGAGTTATGAACAGAATTTGAGTGGTTGTAAATAACGAAGAGAACGAGTTTGAGCTGATGCTGTAGTGCCCACACTGAGACACCATGGTAGTGATATGCAATCGGCTGAGAAGAAAGGGTGTAGAAACATCAATTACAGACTTCGCGTAGAGAAATGGAAGTGGGAAGCTCCTGTGTGCAAGCTGAGAGGGCAAGGAGAAAGGAACGGGTCAAGAACAGAAGCATGAAGGACTGAGAAGAGTGGAAGTGAGGAGTCCCTTTGGGACTTTTGGTGGGAAGTTGGGCCCTGGGACAATGGTGTTCTGTCGTATGTTTGTAACGGGAGAAGTAGAGCCCTGAAACAGGCAACAAAAGAAAACCAACCAACCAAAAACCCAAAACAGCATCAGGGCTCTTGTGCAACATTTGAAATACTTTAGGTTGAGGGTAGGGAATGTGATCATTCTCTAGTAATTCTGAGGGAAAATGTGCTCAAAGTTTGAGGATATACTGGGATTTGAGAATGCCTTTGAGACATTGGGATGGGCTACAGAAGGAGAGGCGTGGGTGCTCTCCTGTCTCAGGACAGTGGAAGTGGCCTCTCTTGGTCTGGAATCTGGCAAGAGATGCGGGAAAGGGTAACAAGGGGAAGTAAATGGCAGGTCAAGACTTGACAATTCCTTTGTAATGTTGTAATGTAGGAGTTTTATTGAGGAAGTGGATTCAAAATCTTTAAGGGTGGTGGAGCTGTAACCATGGGATTCCAGAGCAGCTGAAGAGTAGTTCGCCAGGAAGGGATTATGCTTCCAGGCTGGTGGTTCTCCGCATTTTGAGGTACAGGATAGGTATCTGGGTGTAACGTTACTTGAATGCCTGTCTCGTGGTTGAAACATTGCTCTTTACCTGCACAGTGACACAGATTAATCTAATGACAAACCCTTAAAGGGGAAAAAGGTTCAGCCGTTCACTCGAGTGTTGTGCTTAAGGCAAACTCTCCAGCCAAACTGGAGCTGGGACTGCTTTGCTGTACTGTAGGTTGCAAACTGGAGCCTCGCTGAGTTTTTTGAAGTGCTAGTCTGAAGACACGTTTGTTCTGCTGTTGCCTTAAGCTGGTTCAGAGACTGATTGTGGTTCAGGTAGCTCTTATCATGCATTCCGTATTGTTGTCTAAAGCAATATCGCCTATTTGGTGAGATTCTGTTTGTTTATTTTTTACGATTATACATCACTGTATGGTTATAGTAATGCTAAAAAATGTGCAGGCCCAGCCTTGGGTAGCCATCTCTGCTGACTGAAAGTACAAACTGAAAATGGGTACGCTGAAAAGAGGGTAAGCATTAGAAGCGACCAGTCTTGGCCTTGAAGAACCTAGGCAGTTACAGTGAATTCTAGTATCCATTTCAGTGTTGTAAGATTCTTGCTGTTCCTTATGGCAGATTGCCTTGTCTCTTTGCAGTCCGGCTGCTGCTAGGAAGTTTGTCGAGGAAGGAATTAAGACTTTAGAAGGTAAGTGTAACGTTTCTGTCAGTCTGCTTGTTCCACAGTGGTACTGTGATAGCAGATACGGCCTAGGCTTTGAGGAAAGTGTGTAAGATGCTAAATTTAGTTAGTGCACAGGCTAAAGGCATTACATACACATCCAACGTAAAGTACTTGCAGATTACATGGAAAATAACAAGGATTTTTGGCTTTGAGGTGAATGGTCTATTGAGGTCTTCATTGGGAAGTGCTCTATGCATTTGTACTCATCCTGTCAGCTGTTGAGTAGTCAGTTTAAAATCCCTTCCTTTGGGTTTGAGGTTGCCGTTTCCTTGTTGTGTATTCCTTGCGTGCATCGTCTTTGCATTGGTGGAAACTGACTGTATGATTTTTAGTCCTCAAGTAACTTTTTTCTTTGTTTTTCTTAATTCTTCTAGATTTAAGAAAAAATGAACACAAGCTGACCCATCACCAGCGAATTGGGTTGAAGTAAGCTTTCTTGGGTGCTTTTCTAATGACTCCTTCAGATACCAGGATGTAATGTAGGGTTACACAGGCCAAGTAAGGTTCTGTTCTTTCTGTGCGCTCTACATAATTTTCAGCAGTTATTCAGAGCTTTTGTTTCCTTGGACTTGAAGTTCAGTAGGCTTAGTCTCCATCCAGCAGAAAATTAATTTCAAATGCCTTTTTCAGTTAGCTCATGGGGAATCACTTTAACAAGGTTGCAGTAATGTTTCTTGGGAATCTGCATAAAAGTGGCCCAGGCTTTTTTTTTGTTATGTGCTGTGAGCAAGGCAAGACCTTTATGTGTCTGACCTTGAGACTGCCTTGCAGAATGTGTGTCTGTCCCTCAGGACTTACCAGCTTGAATGCTGCTTGCTGAGTGGCTGCTCCAGTGTGTTAGTTCTGGAAGAACTGTAGCTATGTTTGCAAGGAGCTGCAGGTGAACAAGTACAGCCTGATACCTGAATTGGTTCTGTGTGGGGCCAGCTCTAGAGTTTCCGCCTCAGTGGCAGAGAGCGGAATACGTGAGATGAACTTCTGGAGATATTCAAGACCCGCCTAGACGCGGTCCTGTGCAGCCTGCTCTGGGTGACCCTGCTTCAGCAGGGGGGTTGGACTAGATGACCCACAGAAGTCCCTTCCAACCCCTACCAGTCTGGACAAGCTACTTGGCAGTGACTGAAAAGGGTTACACAACGATTGTCGCCTTCCCACTGCTCATCTGCGCTCCATACCCAGTGTGCATCCTTTGTATGCGTGAGCATTCAAGGGAAGACATTTCACTGTTAAGTGAGTATAAGAAAACTCGCCTGACCTATCCATGTTGCCAGTGCACACATTGCCCTTGGGTCTGCATCCAGCATCGTGCTCAGATGTTGTTTCAGAACCTCTGGTAAGTGCTGAGCTGAAAGAATGGTTTCAGTGCTCTATGGTGGTCTTTTTGTCCCTAGTTCCACTGCAGCTCTTTGAGAGGGATGAGGGTGAGGGAGGAGTCCCACATCCAGAAGCTCTGTCTGCAGAGCTTGGGATTGGGGTGGTTGGGTAATGAGTGTCAGGGAACATGTGGCTTCAAGGCTGCCGTATAGCTGCCAGTGCCTGCTGTCGATGGTTCTGGTGCTGGAGGGGTAAAGAATGCGGCTGCTGGTCAGATGCGTCATTGTTTCATCTGGCCTCTTTTTTCTTCACAGTCAAGCAAGCATGTTGGCAGTCTGTTTTTTACAGCTGCATGCAAAGATATCGGGAGTTGTATTTGACTTGTGAGCTTCCGTTTAGCTTTTTCTAACACAGATCATCTCTGACCATGGGTGAAGGACCCGCTCTTCTCCGGCTTGCTGGTTGACCGAGTTTTGTCAGGAACCTTTTATATTTCAGAGGGCTATGTAAATATAAATCAATTGGTTATACAGCAGTATTACTCCCACCTCCTAGCAGCTTGTCATATACAGTGGAAATAATATGCAATGAAACCATCTTCTAAGCATTGTCAAACTTGAAGTTGTGAGTTTTTGCTATTGCTTGGCAAGATATTTTCTGAGATGTTTGGTGAGAATGGGGAGCTTTTTGTGATGTGACAATAATATAAGTTGTATTCTTTCCTCTGATACATATTTAATTGACTGAAATTTTTAAGATGCTACCCTTGCCACTTTCAGACACTTTTATTTTTATATATGCAGATATTTTGAAGATTTTGAGAAAAGAATCCCGAGGGAAGAAATGCTGCAAATGCAGGTAAGAATGTGTTTATCGAGGATGTGAGGTACTGATGGCCAATGAATGAATGACACCTCTAAACACATATCTGTCCTTTTTACATAGGAAATTGTGCTGAAAGAGATAAAGAAGCTGGATCCAAACTATATTGCTACAGTCTGTGGCAGTTTTAGACGAGGTTGGTACTCTGTGATCTTACTACGTTTATTTTGGATTAATAAGTGCGACTCATTACTATACGTGTTCTTCTAGAGAGAAAGTGTATGCTGGAACCTGGCTTTTTCCTGTTAGTATTGTCTTGACTAGTTACTTCAGTGACGAAACGCACGCGTAAATCCTTGTTTCTCCACCCTGCCTCCATAAAGAGTAGTATATTGTAACATGTGAATCGTTTGCTTTGGTTTTACATTAACAACATTTGTGCTTCGTAGCTATAGAGTATAGCCAGAAATTCTTGGGTATTTTCTGAGATATGTGGGGATGTAAACTATTTTATGGAAGAACAAGGTTCTCTAAGATTTTTTTTTTTTTTTCTCCACAACTATCTTTAATAATGACAGACGATTTTCTACCAGAAAAACATGCTCACGGGAAGAGGTTAGATGCATGTTCACCAATGTTAGTATACTTTGTCATATGCAGAGAGATTTTGCTTTGCTTCTTACTTGTCTAGGTGCAGAGTCAAGTGGCGATATGGATGTTCTCCTAACGCATCCGAGTTTCACATCTGAATCATCCAAACAGGTGTGTTTCTCTGCTGTTGTGGGTCAGTACTATGCATTACGTCCACAGGGTGTGTTTAAATTCAGAAGACACATAGCCTCAGACTTGCATTGCAGCTTCTTGCATCTTTTTGTTACTGTAACGGTAAACTCTTCTCTTGGCTCACTGTGTTTATTTTGAGGAGTTATAATTAATTCTTGTGCATTACGTTGTATTCCTCTTGCAGAACTATTCAGTGTGCTTACTTTTATCATTCTGTCTGTTCCCTTCACACACGCTCCCTCCACCCCCCCACCCCCCCGGTCAAATTCATGTGCTTTTGCAATGTAAAACTGTAACAGGTAGCTGGATAAAGCAGGGATTAAAGGAAGAGTAAGTATGTCTTTATGCAGCCATAATCTTTTGGACGAGAAGCAAATGTCCTGCTGCCCTTGTAATCTTTTGGGACTAACTGGAGAAGTTGTAATGACAGTTTGTATTTCTTGTGTTGTTTCTATAGATTCATTGCTTAAAAGTTGAAAACTCAAACCAAGAAATGAGTTTCGTCACTTGCAGTGATAGCAATCTGACATGGGGATTTCGGTGGAAACTTTTTTCTGTTGCACAACTGTATTTTTATTAGCTTTTTCTCAGTATTGTTGTTATCTTTTTTCCCCTCTGGGTCAAATTTCATGTACAATAATATATACAATTCTAGTGATGTCCTCTACTTAGACGGGCCGTTGTCTGGTAAACGGGTAAGATATTCTCTTTATTTGTGAAATAATGTCATCTTCTGTATTGTCACTATTCCTAGTCAAAACTTCTGCATCAAGTTGTAGAACAACTGGAAAAAGTCCACTTTGTCACAGATATGCTGTCTAAAGGTGACACCAAATTCATGGTAAGGCTTTTTTGGTGGTGAGGGATGTTGACAGAAGCTAGGATATATACAAGATATGTTGTTTGGAGTGCTTTTTTTTCCCCTTAAACATGTGGATTGGGTGTTATCTACCTTCACTTAGTTTTCTTTACAGGTCCCAGGTATCCTGGTCTTACAGGCTGGTTAAAAGCTAATTCTAACAGAGAAGTGTAGAACCGTAAGCAATACAGAGTGGAAATGAGGACTGGTTAGTTTCTGTCAGTCACTCATACTGGCTTTTATCCTTGGAAGCTCAGAGGAGTGGTCCTGCAGGAGAGTTCACGGAAGGTCCACAAATTATGAATTTCTATTCAAGAATCAAGATACAGCTATACTGAACTAATCTTTTGGAAGGCATAAATACTTAAATATATGTCACCGTTTAGAACAGGACAGCAACAAACAGAGTGGCAGATGCTCTCGATTATCCCCCGCCCTCCCCACCACAGGAAGGGAAAAAGGAGGAAGAGGGGGAGAGACTTACAAAACTGAATATTAAAACAGCTTTACTAATAATACTACTACTAAAAAGAGAAATAAAGCAAAATATACAAAACTGATATGGAGTTTCACGGAGTTGGGTGCTGTGGGCGCTGGTGTCCCACCAGCAGCTGCCAGGCAGACACCAGGAAGTCTACTCGGTAGTAGAAAGGAAGTGGACTCAGGAATGCACAGATCGGAATCTGGATAAGGATCGCAGCCAGGACAAGAGGAGAGTCCTCTTCAGAAGCCAGCCATGGACAAAGAGAGCGAGACCCTCATGATCCCCCAGCTTTAAACTGAGTATGACGTGTAAGGCATGGAATACCACGTTGGTCAATATTGGGTCACCTGTCCTGTCCACCCCTTCCTGCAAGTACGGCCCTTTACGACTTCTCAGTTGCGGGACCTAAGAGGTCTATCGGTGACCTTGGCTGCTATGGTAATAATTACAAACGTGGGCCTTTTTCTGCATTCCATTCCTACCGTTAGCTCGCTATAACTATAAACATCAGGTGTTATCAGCTTTGGAGTGGACACTGTCTGTAAAATATGCAGCCAGCTTTAGAAGAATGCAGTTCCCTAGAAGAACTTAGCTGTGAGAAAGATTCATTAAAAAATAATCGGGTCTGCTTTAACCAAAACCAGGACAATATACAATACTACAGTTAAAGATACTTGCTTTCTTAAGATGGAAGGGGCTGTTGGAGCACTTGATTATTTTACTTATTTGTTTGTTGGTTTGGTTTTTCTTAAAATGAGCTAAAAGTACTCTGAGAATTTGTCTTCGGTTCAGTTTGTGTTGCATTCTGAGAAGGAAAGAAACTTGATGGCTTTTTAGCTTGATCTGTAGGAGCAATGCATGAAAGTCGCTGTCACTCTTGCCAAATGGTTTAAGTGTGAATACTGTATGGGTTTAAAGCTAAATGTACATCTGTGAGACAAAAGCAGAGACACTCTGCATTCCCGTTTGCATTCGCAGTTCAACAAGCTCATTACAGTTTGACCATTTGCTCTGTATAATCCTGCCAGTCTTAAATAGTTGTGGAATAGCTCCTGTGTTCAAAGTGGAAGCTAAGAAGGGAATGTTGTAAAGAGGGAAAAAATATGACTGCAGCTGAGAATCTGAGAAAAGCATGTCTCAGTAAGGAGACAGACAACATAACTTTAAAAGCATAAGCAATCTTAAGCTTTTGAAACAAAGCTAAGAATAGAAGGAGAAGTCTCAGCATGGAGCTGCAATTGGTGAAATGGTTTAGTATGTAAACATTTCTCATTCTTTATGGTTCATGTCCCTCCCCCCATCTGCACTGTCATTTAAGGTGATCATAGACTAGGGAAAAAAAGAAAAGGCTGATATGTGAAATGCATGAAGATTACAAAGCAGTTTGAAATTAAAAGTGGCAGAGGATTGCTTAAGAAAAAACTTTCTTTTTTAAAATTTTTATTAGCTTGTGCTTCGTCTGCATTTTCCTTAACCTGCTGATGTTGGTGCATACTGAAGAGCCTGGTAATAATTAGGGCAGAGAAATGGGAAATGAGAAGTCCTGTGGTCCTTCCTGCTGTAATAAAAACTTAAGAAGCAGTTACATGCTACGCTGAACTACGGTCCTCTTAGCAGTGTAAAATAGTGATCCGCGGTACTATGACATTCAGCTGTTCTAGTAAAATATTTAATTGGTTCAGTGGGAATTTAGTATTGCGTTCCAGCGTGACTGAGGATTATTTAGAGGTTGTCTAGGAGTGGGGCGGTGAGGATTGATCTCAAATCTGGTTTATTTCATTTTGAATGTCTTGCTTTTCTTACTTCTTCACAGGGTGTCTGTCAGCTGCCAAACAAAGAAGATGGAACAGCCTGTCCACATAGGAGAATTGATATCCGGTACACACACACAAAAAAAAAAATCCCCAAACCCAAAACCCGCTCCATTAGTTGTCTCCTACTTGGTAGGCATTTGCATCAAGTTCTGCATTCAAATCTCTACTTCCACGTTCAGAACATGGCATTTAGTAGGTTTCTAATTGCTTTGCAGTATGGAAGCCACTGTACAACTGCCAGTATCTACAACAGGTTATTAGCAAGAATGCTGCATTTTAAATCACGACTTTGTATCCAGTTTCAGAATTGTGACCTACTTTATCATATTGCTTTGATACTAATTCTTGGCAGGAGTGCAAGCACTAGACCCGTGTAGTGGCTGAACACCAGTAACTTCTGGGTCAGGGTAGATGTGCTGAACCTTTCTTTGATACGCAGTTAATTTCCTTCTTCCACCTGGCTTGTGGGGAAAATCAAATGTACAGAGTTGCAGAATGTGTGCGCGTAAATAGGAAGTAAACCTAGAACAGTGTCTGAATGGCTGAATTCCAAATGGCTTGTAACTTTTTTGTTATATATTTGCTCTAAACCGGTACTTTTCTTCCACTTTTATTTTAGGCTTATCCCCAAAGATCAGTATTACTGTGGTGTACTGTATTTCACAGGAAGTGATATATTCAATAAGAACATGAGAACTCACGCTCTGGAAATGGGCTTCACGATCAATGAATATACAATCCGTCCCTTGGGTGTCACTGGTCAGTGTGGGCCTTTGTACAGAGTAGTTTCTAGTTACATGCTTTGTGTGATCTTCTCCTGAAATTGGTTTCTCAGTTTACTGGAAATACTTCTGATATATACTGTAGTTCATGAAATTTTTCACAGTGTCCTTTCTGATACTGGACACCATTATAGCAGGAAGAGGCAGCCTACTTCGCTATAGGCAGCGCTGTGGCACAGTTATATCTTTGGGCCACCGAATCTACTTAAAGTCTTACTGACCTGAAAGTTGTTTTTTCAGTGTCATGCACAGCACCTATGTGGTTTCCCACTCTTTTACCAAGATATGTCATGTCCTTCAGTTGTTTTGTTCTGGAGGAGGGCTGACTATATGTATATGTGCATGTGTATATATAGATACATGAATGCAAATATATTTAACTGCATAACCACATGGCCCCAAGGTTAATTAATTACCTTATTTCCTTTGACACTAATGAGATCAGTACATAAATACTGTATGAAAAGGTCTGTGGGAGGTGTTTTGGTGTTTGTTTTTAAGTTTGTTTTACTTGTCTTAACCTTGCAATGCATTTGGCATTTCAGGATTGTGCAGACCTTCCACCTTTCAAATAACATCTGTAATTTGCTTGCAGGAGTTGCTGGGGAGGCCCTACCAGTAGAATGTGAAAAAGACATCTTTGACTATATCCAGTGGGAATACCGAGAGCCAAAGGATCGGAGTGAATAACTTCTTGTCCAGGTCTGTAACCTAGAGAGATGTTTTCATAGCTTTTCGTGAACATACAAAGTGCATATTCTTTCTTTGGATGTTATTGCAAAAAGTGTACGTTACTGGTGTTTAAAGCAAGTCCATGGCGCTAGCATAGAATGTGTAGTGACCAGTAAATCTCTTCCTCTCCCCATCTCCACCCCTAAAGAAGATTAAAGTTTTCGCTGTGTTTAACTGAAAGGGCTGCAGTACTGAGGCTGCATCTTGAGTACTGTGTTCAGTTTTGGGCCCCTCACTACAAGGAGGACATTGAGGTGTTGGAGCGTGTCTAGATAAGGGCAGCGAGGATGGTGAGGGGTCTAGAGAACAAGTCTTAGCAGGAACGGCTGAGGGGACTGGGGCTGTTTAGTCTGGAGAAAAGGAGTCTAAGAGGGGACCTTATGGCACTCTACAGCTACCTGAAAGGAGGTTGTAGTGAAGTGGCTTTTGTTCTCCCAGGTAACTAGCGATAGGATGAGAGGAAATGGCCTTAAGTTGCATCAGGGGAGGTTTAGCTTGGATATTAGGAAAAATTTATGTACTGAAAGAGTGGTCAGGCATTGGAACAGGCTGCCCAGGGAAGTGGTGGAGTCATGATCCCCGGAGGCGTTCAAAAAATGTGTAGCTGTGGCACTTCAGGACATGGTTTAGTAGGCATGGTGGTGTTGGGTTGATGGTTGGACTTGATGATCTTAGAGGTCTTTTCCAACCTTAATGATTCTATGAAGGTGGTGTGGCAGTCAGACCCCTTAGAGAATGCATATTGTCTTTTGCTTTGGGATTCAATAAAAAACTATCAGACAGTAAAGCACAGGTTTCTGTTTAGCCCCTGAGGAGCAGAAAGGTCTGACGTAAAGGCAAAATGTTTCATCTTACTAAATTTCTTGCCGCTTGGTTTGAAGATGGTGGCTGTTAATCAAAATTACTGCTGGCTCTTTGGAGTCACTGGAAAGTCTTACAAACAATACTAGCCTTCTATAAAAGGCTGTGTGCTTTGATTTGATAATATCTGTGATGATCAAGCTATTAGGTTTTTTCCTAATAATTTCAGTAGCCCTTAGGCTGTGATGATTATTAGAAAAGTCTGGATATTTCAAACTGAACAAGCCTTCTTAGCTTGTTTCTTGTAGTTTTGCAAAAGACAATCAGAGTTCTGATGCTTCCATGTTTTAATATATACACAGACATACTCTTTGTTTAATATCTGTTAATATCTAAACTAATAAATATCTAAACTAATAACTGTTTAATATCTAAAAACTGGGTAGTTCTTGGAGGAAATAACATCACTTTTTTTTTTGCTATCTACTTTGAGATTGAAAGACTTGGAAATAAAACCATTGCTTTTGTGTAGTTGTTGCAAATTGTCCAATTAAGTAATATGTATGGGGTTTATTTAATTATTTTTTTAATGCAGTTTGAGTAATTATGTCTGTAGAGCATCTTGAAATGTTCAAATGAACGTCTTGCTAATACAGGCTGCCAGCATAAATTGCTTGGGTATATAATCTACAGCATCTGTGTGTAGCAGCAAGCACTTTATAAATAACCATAGATTAGATTTGGCCATGGCAGTGAATTAGTACTGGCACTGCACAATTAATAAAACTTAAATAATTCTGAAACTTTAGTATGAGACCAGTTTGTTTCATATATATCAGGAGACTAGAAGAATTAAGTGCTGTAAGAACAATGGTCTCCTAATATAAGTGCCATAATTATTAGAAGAGTCTTCTTACAGTGCTTAGATCTCAGACTGTGTATGTTTGTGTGTCTTTTCAAGTGTGTATTTGAAGGGGTGGTGGACGGAAAAAAACACCTAAAAGTCCATTTCCCACCCCCACTCAGTAGATGACAGTATAAACAACTTTTCATATTGGTTACACAAAACGATGTATTATGACTCCCCACTAGCCAGCAAATGTGTTGAAGCAGGCTTTTCAGAACACATAAATGAGGCCAAAAAAAGACTGCCCATGTGCTTAGTTGCAGAGCTAACTGCTCCAATATTTTTTGCTTAAAAATACATTATTGGAACACCCAAGACTAGTGAGAAACATGAAAGCCAGATATGTATTAAAATTCCAGTGCTGAAGTTGCACCTTGGCACATAGTTATAGAATGCAAAGTCATTATCGCTGGTGCTATTGAAATACTACACTTTTATGTGACTGTAGAAGAATGAATGTTACACACAAGCCAGACATAACTGACAATTTTCTGTAGGATTTCAAATTCAAAACCGGACGATGATTCAAGTTCTGCAATAACTGGAGCAAATATGAAAAGGAAATGGGGTACATGTGTTTGGAAGACCCTTTCCAGTCTTGAAGTGGAGTTTTTAAACCGTTATTCATGTCTCTGTTGGCTGCTGTCCAAAACCTCCAATAAAGAAGAACCGCAAGTCTCCTGGGCTGGTTGCTCTCTTTTCAGCACTATTGAAACATTACAGGTCATTTTGACACCAGGTGGAAATGTTTGAGGCATATAGACTTTAAAATACTCTTTTGAGCTTTTAAAGAAACTAATCTTCACTTAGCTTACTTGCCTAGGGAGAAGGGAAAGGAATCTCCTAGCATGGGGTCAGTCTGTTGGACACACTGTTGTTTATCATTCAGGATTATGGACTGAAATAAATGTAAGGTGTTCAGGTGCTTATGTGTTGCAGGCTGATGTTTCCTTAGTTGCTGCTGTTAGCTTGTGGAAATTGAGACCTGAGTTTGTGGCACAGTGCGCAAATAACTCTACATTAAAATGTACATCCCTTTATACTGTTTTGCATTACTAATATCTGAATCTTTTGGCAGGTGTTTAGGTGTGATCATTGTGCTCCTCTGCTGACCAGTGTTTGATGAGACAAACTGAAGCCACGGTCACGGTGCTGAAAAAAAATCTGGATGTTGAGCAATGTCACTGAGAACTAACTGGATTGCAGATTTTGGTCTGGAAATGATGTGCGCAGTAAAGCCCAGAAGCACAGCCTGAGATGCAAAGGCAGCTTTCTCCCTCTCGACCTATGACAAGCAGCATGTCGTATGCCCTTCTGTCCTTTCTTCAGCCCCTCTGTCTTGTCCGCAGATTCCTCCTAGCTGCTCTCCCTGGGACAAATCAATGTTCAACATGCCCTGGCCGTGGATTAGTGACCTTCTTCCCCAGCCTCTTTCTGGCATTCTCCTTCTATTCAGACCCAAATGTCCTACTGAAATGATTTAAGAGATCCAGAGAAAATCCTAAGGCTTTTATGTTTTCCCGTGTAGGGGACACAGAACATTACACTGTCATGCGTGCTGAAGTGTGGTTTCTTGTAGACAGGAGCCTTCCCTTGCCAGTTCTGAATAAATTTGAATCTCCTTTGTGGATGTTTCTCTTATCCAGAAAGTAATCCTTGTTTACTGGCTAAGTGTTGGTTACAGGGTTGGCAAGGTATGCAGAGATTTTGTAAATGGGTGGAAGTTCTTGATGTACATAAAAGGATTATTTTCTGCCTCCTCTGCACTAGCTCTGCTGCTGAGTTGGCTGTTTTAAAAGTGGTGGGCTCTTCTTTTACTAAATAATGTATCTGCTAAGGTCTTCCCTATAGAGTTTGTCCAGCTGAAACTGGCTGCAAGAACTGCTGTTGCGGCTTTTAAAACCACAAGGATGTGTCCTTGTGTAGAGATTGTTCTCATACAATTGCCTCTCTCTTTGTTCTCTGTGTCTTTGATGAGAGTGCAGTTGCGTATTCTGGAGAACTCCTTGGAAGTTCTCCATAATAGTTTTTCTACGCATCCGTTTCTCCAGTTGGGTTAAGCAGGTGCATAAGTGCTTGCGGTTCTTATTTTATGCGCTTAGCTCTTAGTAATGGGCTTAGTGAGTGGTATAGCCATGTAGATGACCGTTTGTAATTGTCGGGAGCTCCCGAGAGCTTTGTGTTGCCCACAGACAGTGACAGCAGAAAGCATTCCATTTCTTTTCATCTAAGGACATCATTATGCACATTAACTAGATTACTGTTACAAGAATTGTGCAGTTATTCCATTTCTTATAACTAAGTCTAAAACAAAAGAATGTTGTCATTGCATGTGACACAATGTGGAGGTTATGTTTGTAGACATAGGCTTTTACCAGGATGGACTTTGCTTTTATTTACGAAGTAAAGGAAACACCAATACAGAACAGCACTGTGGGTGTACCTCTGATGCTAATTTAATGTCAGAGGAAGCAGCTGAGAGCCAATAGCCACATGTTTCAGATAGGCTGTGAAAGGAAGAGGAGAAATGGCACGGAGTTTCCCTAGAGAGTAGACAAAGGGGATGAGAATTCTAATGACTTAGTCTCTGAATAGTGTTGATGCTTTGCCTTGTGGTGCATTTGTCTTGGTACCTTGAGAGCAAAATGAACCTACGTTTCGTTTTCTCCTGATACTCTTAAATATTTATACCCGCATAAATTTTTAAAGACATTCTCGATGAAGGTCACAGATCCTATTTTTTATGTACATTACTTTTTTTTATATCGAGCCTTGATCCAAAAATGTGAAGTGATGAAAATAAGCAAAGTCTCTGGTTTTTTTTGCAGTTTAAAAAAAAAAAGCACATCAAACACACACAAAAAGCCAAGAAAAAGCCCAACCACCCAATTTAAATAATATATAAAATTGTCTAATGTAGGCTTTTAACAGACAACTGTTTAATCTAGCAGCAACACTCCTGCTTCTGAAGACAGACTGCACCTCTTCTCTTGGTTAACCAGCCTTCTCCTGGTTAAGAGATTGAAATTTTGAACTGATGTAGGCATTTACCCTCTCAGAACTGCATATTGGTCTGCTAGATCTTTCTTCTAATCTGTTTCTAATTCTTTCTTTGTATCTTACATATGTGCAGACACCAGAATGAGAAAGCTGGCTGTGTCCTGAAGTATTCCTAAAGAACGCCATTTTCAGCTACTATCTGTATCTCCTTATCTTTAAGTGTCCTGGTGCAGTGCTGAAGCTTATGCTAAGCTGCTTCCATGTCCTTATTTCTAAAACCTTTCAATACAGCCATATGCTAATGCGACCATTCTCCGGTTGCATGTGACCTATGTTCTTTGTTCCTAGATATGTTGCAGTACTATCAGTTGCAGTGTTCTGTATTTTGTTCTACTTGCCATTACCCAGAACACTGGTCTGATTAATTGAAGCGTTTCTACCACTCCTGTAGAGTCAGTCTGCACTTCTTTATATGCAAACCTGTCAGCTCTGCTTTCATAGGTTCTCTTAAGTCATTGTGAAAGGTAACGACTATTTTGGATGTGAGAGGAGGTCCCATCAAGATTGCATCACTAGTTATATTTGGGGCAGGGATACTGTTGGTTAGCTTAAAACTTAACTAGTTTTAAGTAGTAAACTACTAACTGACATATTACAGAGCATCAGCATGGAATGTATTGCTGCTACTGTATTTGAATACCTTGTAGGAGTATAAGGCAAATGTATTACAGAATTGCAAGCTTGAAAAGGCAAGACTATTTTATACACAGTCAAATTGACTATTGCTTAATTATATAGCACTTTTCTTGATTTATTAATGATTAGGTCCTCTATCTGCCTTTTTGGGGGCAGAGAGAAGTTTGCATCTGTATTGTCAGACTACTTAACCTGACTTGAATCATAAAACAAAGACGGATGTAATACTGTTTCTTATTTTTGTCTGACTTAAGCCTACAGAACAACTACATTTTTTACGTCTTATATAATTAATGTTGACCAGTCTTAATAATGGTGAATATAAACTGATACTCTTGCTTACCCCTTTATTTTTTTCTGATTTTCGTATTAGACGTTCTGGGAATGTTCCCCAGCCCTAATGCATGCAGTGGTATGTGACTAGAAGTTAACTGGGTGCTATGTGAAGTCTTGTGGTGCCTCATAGTAAAAATATATATAGCTAATGTATTCAGTGTTTGCTTCAGTAATCAGTGGGAATAAACAAGGTGAGAATTCCATCATGAACGTGTAATCCTGTTTTGTTTTGGGTTTTTTTAGCTGTAATTTTAAGAGTATCAAGAAGCAGTGTCACGAGCTTACCATGTTTTACAAATGTTTCCTAGGCAGCACACAATATTAGACTGATGCATTCTCCGTCATCCTCAACAGGTAGCTCGGGAGGCTACTTTGTGTTGGGACTTTAGGTAGAGTTTGCTGGCCTTGCAGTCTCCCTCCATGACAGTGAGTTCTTCTAGGTGGAAGAAAAATGGCTTGTTCAGAGTGCTTGTTTGTTTTTCTTGAACTATATAAATATACAATGTGTCTTCCTTGCCCTAACTGGCCTGTGGGCTGTTTTGGGTTACTTATTCCCTCCTCCTGCAGAACTGGACTGCAAGATGTCTGGTAAACACAGGAAGCAACAGCTGCAAGCCTTGTGCTTATCATTGGGAATCTGTGTAAGTGGGCATGTACTATCTATTGTTTGTACATACATAACCTCATGGCTATGTAGGCTGGCAGTTGGGGTTTGTCAGTGTTTGCTCTTGTCCCAGTTGCAAGGTCTTGCACTGAGCATAGGGTGTGCCTACCTCCTTCCGGAGCCCGAGGCCTGCAGCGGCCCTTACTAAGGGATTAGCCCGAGCAAAAGAGCGATGGTAGGGAGTAAGGGGGGTGCTGGTAAGGTAGCCGAAGGGTTTGAGAACAGCTGTAGCACCCGCCGGAGACTGCCACCGCCTCTGAGGGGGTGGGCGAAGGGGCGGCGCCCCCCAGC